GAGGTGGTATTTGCCGGTTCTCCGCTACCAGGTTCTCCAGAACCTGTCAGAACCTGCTGGATTTCACCCCTGTGCTTTATTCCAGGGGTGTCAAACTCAAGGCCCATGGGGTGCTTAGATCTGGGCCGCAGAGCCGCCCTGGAAACAGTAAAAGGACCGGCCTGCAATGCCTCTACTAGCAAAAACAGAGCTCGGGAGGCCCATGCACGGCCCACCCGGGCTCCATTTTTTTTTTTTAATTTGATTTATATGCCGCCCTTCTCCGGAGACTCAGGGCGGCTTACAATGCGCTAAGCAATAGCCTTCATTCTTTTGTATATTTATACAAAGTCAGCTTATTGCCCCCACAACTGGATCCTCAATTTACCTACCTTAGAAAGGATGGAAGGCTGAGTCAACCTTGAGCCTGGCGAGATTCGAACCTGCAGTAATTGCAGGCAGCTGGTTTTAATAACAGGGTGCTTTAGACCACTGTACTCCCAAGGCTCTTACCAAGGCACATTTTCGGCTGTGACGGCCTCCTGCAAGCTCCATTTTTGCTGGCGGAGCACTCAGCCACCACAGGCGCCCCCGACACAAGTGACGTCAAGCTGGCCACCCCTACCCTGGCCACGCCCACCCAGGCCTGTGAGGTCAAGCCAGTGGTGGGTTGCCCCCGGTTCGGACCAGTTTGCAAGAACCGGTAATAAAACTGGCGGGAGGTCCCGCCAACCGCCCCAGATGTTGTCATCAGCGATCTGCGCATGCGGATCCCGTTACAAATCGGTAGTAAAGGTAAGTAGAACCCACCCCAGGGTCAAACACAACCCTGAAGGGGCTCTCAATGAAATTGAGTTTGACACCCCTGCTTTATGCTACTTTATCACTTTTTTTTTTTACTAGCATGTTAAAATAGGACTCAAGATAAGAAGAGTAAAAGAATCAAACCAGAGGCATTCATAGAAAAACTGACCATCTCTCACTTAGGATCAGGCCAACCATAGAGACTGGAGCCCACCAGGAAAGAAAATCAAGACAAGGTTGTATGAATCTCTAAATACAATTAAAACAAGAATATAGCTTAGTGCAATGTGTGATCCAGGCCACATGGACCAGGGGTGAAATCCAAAATTTTTCCCTACCGGTTCTGTGGGCATGGTTTGGTGGGCATGGCAGGGGAAAATCTCCATTCCCACCCCACTCCAGCAGAAGGATACTGCAAAATCTCCATTCCCTCCCCTCCTGGGGGAAGGATATTGCAAAATCTTCATTCCCACCCCTCTCTGGGGCCAGCCAGAGGTGATATTTGCCGGTTCTCCGAACTGCTCAAATTTTCCGCTACCGGTTCTCCAGAACCTGCTGGATTTCACCCCTGACATGGACTATGCTAATCTAACCAGCTTACTGTTTTATTTGTGTGTTATGTGTGAACAAAGTAAACCTGCTTTTCTCAGCTTGTCACCCTCCAGGAAAACATAAATCTGGAAACTGCTGCAGCAAGATACGTGAAGGGAATATGACAAAATCACGAAGGAGTGCCAAACAGCACAAAATGATCACTGCAAAGAACGCAAGCTTTCTTGGTTCTGAGTAAGAGCTACGAATGTTAATATAAAAGAGATTGATCATGATCAATAATTGGTTATCCCGACTAATTTTCTTACATACCGGTACATGTGATTTTTTTGCAGGGTGAAGATGCCGTTTTAACAAGAAAATAGAATTACAACCAGCAGCTGAAAGAATTGGGCTCCCCCTACTGTTGAAAATGAGTATCTAGATCAGGTCCCCAATCCCATTTAGATTTTTAGCGAAGCAAGTGGGAAATTCTCATGTTTTGATGCAGTCCCAGTTTTGATGCAGCCACGTTCAATTTTTGTTTGTTTGCAAAATTCAGTTTGGGTATTTATGTATATGATTTAGAGGCCATGTGACTTTCAATGATTGTAGCCAGCTTATATTCATGTTAATTTATGTTTACGTTTATTTATTCGTATTTCACCTTTATTATTGTTTAGAAATAACTCAACGCATCGAACATAGATACAGATTAACAGAGTTGGAAGGGACCTTGTAGGTCATCTAGTCCAACCCCCCACCCAAACAGACCCTATACCGTTTCTGACAAATGGCAGTCCAATCTCTTCTTGAAAGCTTCCATTAATGAAGCTCCAACTTCTGAAGGCAACTTCTGTTCCATTGGTTGATGGCTCTCAATGTCAGAACATTTCTCCTTATTTCTAGGTTGAATCTCTCCTTCTTCAGTTTCCATCCATTATTTCTTGTCTGGCCTTCAGGTGCTTTGGAAAATAGCTTGACCCCCTCCTCTCTGTGGCAGCCCCTCAAATATTGGAAGGCTGCTATCATGCCTCCCCTGGTCCTTCTCTTCACTGGACATATCCAACACAGCTTTACAAATGAAAGCCAGCAACCACTACCCTGTACTATAAAAATGTAGAGTTGGAGGGACTACAAGTATCATCTAATCCAGTGTTTTTCAATCTTGGCAACCTATTGTGGCTAGGGGGATTCTGGGAGTTGAAGTCCATGCATCTTAAAGTTGCAAGACCGAAAATCACTGATCTAGTACAACACTCTGCAGTGCACAGGAAACCAGTTATACAATCCATGAGAGATGCCTGTACAGACTCTACTAAAATACTCCAACAGATCAAGAACCCACAAACTCCATAAACTGAGCATCCCCCAGAAATTGTTAAGACGATAACTTCATAGCCGGCCATTGCACCCCAATCAACAACTAAAAAGCCACACACTGCCAGGCACCATATAAATACCACACAGAGAATAACCCGAAGCACACACTCTGCTAGAGAGAAGTTCTGCTAGAGAGAAGTTCCCTGATGATGGGCTCCAGCACGAATCTCAAAACGTGGAAGGCTAAACCTAGATTGGATCTTGCAACATTATTGGGACATGTATATTTGCCTTTTTTATTATTATTATTTTATTTTATTTTGATTTATATGCTGCCCTTCTCCGGAGACTTAGTCTCCAGTCCCCTAATCATCCTGGTTGCTCTTCTCTGCACTTTTTCTAGTCTCAAATCTTTTTTATAGTGTGGTGACCAAAACTGGATGCAGTACTCTAGGTGTGGTCTTACTAAGGCTTTATAGAGTGGTATTAGTACCTCACTTCATCTTGATTGTATCCCTCTGCATTGTTGTTGTTGTTAGTTGCAAAGTCATGTCCGACCCATCGCGAGGCCATGGACAACATTCCTCCAGGTCTTCCTGTCCTCTGCCATCCTCTGGAGTCCATTTAAGCTCACGCCTACTGCTTCAGTGACTCCATCCAGCCATCTCGTTCTCTGTCGTCCTCTTCTTCTTTTGCCCTCAATCGTTCCCAGCATTAGGCTCTTCTCCAGAGAGTTCTCCCTTCCTTCTCGTTAGGTGGCCAAAGTATTTGAGTTTCATCTTCAGGATCTGGCCTTCTAAAGAGCAGTCAGGATTGATCTCCTCTAGGAATGACAGGTTTGATCTCCTTGTAGCCCAAGGGACTCTCAATAATCTTCTCCGGCATCATAGTTCAAAGGCCTTAATTCTTTGGCGCTCCTGTATTTCTGACTTACTCCAAAAGTTCCAGCTATTTCACCTTCGCGGCTTACAAGGTGTTAAGCAACAGCCTTCATACTTTTGTATATTTTATACAAAGTCAGCTTATTGCCCCCACAAACCAGGCCTTCATGTCCCTATAAAGTCTTTCCTTATATTTAAACACAATCTAAGCAGCTGCAGCCTGCATTCATTATTTCTGGGCCCAGCTTCTGTAGCCATAAAGTTCTTGGCTGTCTCGTCCAGAGCTTCTCTTTATCTACCTAAGCACAACTATCACGTCTGCCCAGAGCTCATTTTCAAATTAAACATTCCAAAATTCTTCCAGTAGGTCCTCGTAGGTCATGTCCTCAAGTCCCTGAATTGTTTTTGTTACCTCTTCTGAACTTCCTCAGTCAGTGTCCTTCTGGAAATGGGATGCCCAGAAATAAACATACAGTATACCACAGAAGTGATATACCCCCTCACATTTTGTAAATATTTTAAGTGTAACTTTTCATGTGATAACACTGAAGAAATGACACTTGTGTACAATGTAAAGTAGTGAGTATACAGCTTGTATAATAGTGTAAATGTGCTGTCCCCTCAAAATTTGGACATTATCACATAGGGGTGTACTCACTTTTGTTGCCACCAGTTTAGACATTAAACTAAATGTGTGTTGCATTATTTTGAGGGGACAGCACATTTACACTGTTATACAAGCTGTATACTCACTACTTTACATTGTAGCCAACTGTCATTTCTTCAGTGTTGTCACATGAAAAGATATACTGAAATATTTACAAAATGTGAGAGGGTGTACTCACTTCTATGATATACTGTATGGTTGAATTAAGAGAACCAATTAACCAAGATGATTAGGGGACTGGAGGCTAAAACATATAAAGAATGATTGCTGGAATCGGGTATGTCTAGTTTGATGAAAAGAAGGACTAGGGGTGACATGATCGCAGTGTTCCAATATATTAAGGAGCTGCCACAAAGAAGAGAGAGTCAAGCTTATTCTCCAAAGCACTTGAGGCAGGACAAGAAGCAGTGGGCGGAAACTAATCAAGGAGAGAAGCAATCTAGAACTAAGGAGAAATTTCCTGACAGTTAGAACAATTAATCAGTGGAACAACTTGCCTCCAGAAGTTGTGAATGATCCAACACTGGAAGTTTTTAAGAAGAGATTGGATCACCATTTGTCTGAAGCAGGGGGTTGGACTAGAAGACCTCCAAGGTCCCTTCCAACTCTATTCTATTCTATGCTAACTAAGGGAACGAATTAGAACCATGATGCATCTTTTAGAAATTTGAGCCACTCCTTTCTAGGAAAGCAAGAAGCTTTTGAAGAGCAGTCAAGGACATTTAGAGGAGAACGCAGTATGAAGAAAAACCACGGATGAGATGAACAGGGGGCAAGAACATAACACACATCCAAACAATATTTGTTGCACTTACTTGTTTCATATTTTCAGCTAAGAATACAAAATAAACACTACAAAAGCCCAACTGGGTAACCACAAGGAAGAAGTCAACGACATATCTAGGAAACATAATGAGAGGAAAAATAAGTTTTTAAGTTAGTTGTGTGGCCTTGGCAATGCAGTAAAACAACGATCATGAAAATACATCAAATGCCTCAGAAGAAGGGGGCACACTGAAAAGATAATTCTGTGAAACAGTGCTTACTAATTTGTTTTAATGGCATCTACTGGTTTATATCTCCAGTAGATCTGTTAATACTCCTTTTTAGATGGCCTCGTTTCACCCTGCCTTGGATTAGCAGACTCATGCAGGGTATTCTAACCAAATTGTATTTTGAAGGCATAATTTTAATTGGCATTTTGATTTTCCACTGCTAATGACACTGGACTGTTTTCAGAACATTTCTAGCCTGTTTATTCCTTTATGTAAAAGGAATGCAATTGCTTTTTTTTCTCAGATTATCCTACTAGATGAAAAAAAGAGGAATGTGGGAGTACATAATTGTATTTTCCAATTATATGCTCTTCAAAGACTACAGATTACAAATTAACAGAATCGGAGGGGACCTTTAAGGTCATCTAGTCCAACCCCCCACCCAAGGAGGAGACCCTACACCATTTCTGACAAATGGCAGTCCAATCTCTTCTTGAAAGTCTCAATTGATGAAGCTCTCACAACTTCCAAAGGCAACTTCAGTTCCATTGGTTGATTGTTCTCATTATAAGAAAGTTCCTCCTTATTTCTAGGTTGAATCTCTCCTTGTTCAATTTCCATCCATTATTCCTTGTTTGGCCTTCAGGTACTTTGGAAAATAGCTTGACACCCCCCCGCCCCTCTGTGGCAGCCCCTGTGGTGACCAAAACTGGATCCAGTATTCTAGGTGTGATCTTACTAAGGCTTTATAGAGTGGTATTAATACCTCACTTGATCCTGATTGTATCCCTCTGTTAATGCAACTTAGAATTGCATTGGCTTTTTTGGCTGCCGCTGCACATTATTAGCTCATATTTAATTGGTTGTGCACCATAATTTCACTGCCAAAACTTTGCAGGGTTGAGGTGATTTAAGTAGCAAAACAGATTTTCATCCTTGGCAAAATTCTTGGGAGATGCAATGGGGCAATGGGATGCTGAACATGGCTTGTGAGTTTCCAACTCTATGCTAAGCCACCATGCATATCATCAACTTAATTGTGGCTCGCCGTGATATGTAATTTTTGATTTGTGAACTATGAGTACAGAAGTGGCGAGATTCATGCTTCTTTAATCCACAAATTTAAACAATAAGCCAGGATATTAAACTAAGCCAAATAATGTCTGGTCTTCCCTTTCCCTCACATTCTCAAGATACACTGTGTGAATGATGATTAAGGCTGATTAAATACATCTAACTGGCAATGCTTCTAAGGGTTCTTCTGCTGGTTTTTAATCAGTTTGAATTCATAACTTACTGATTGGGTTTATATGCAGCCATAGGCCATAAGTGGCTCAATAAATCAAGTTTATTCAGCCACTACACAACCGGAACATACCAACTGTTTTCAGAGGGCATTTTGTGTTTATATGTCTAGCCTCAAGGGCTGCAGAGAGGTTGTTTGGTAACAGGGAGAAGCTACAGAACAGGGGGAGGGAAAGGAGAATATATATGGTCTAACTTCTCAACATGACATTGTCCAGTTGTATAAGAATTGCAGCCCTTGGGCCTCCTAAAAGGGCATCATAGATCATTCTGATCATGGCAACGTAGCAGGGATTTTCATTTTCTGACAGACACTGGGGGGATTTTTCTGATCAGACCCACCCATTCTGCTCTCTTATTGCGGAACGCGAAGGCTGCATAATTCTCTGCATTAAAAAATCAGTGAGTCCATGCAGAAACAGTCCTTACCTTCCCCAAGATGATCGTTTCTGTAATAAGTGAAAGGGACACGTTTCCATGGCGTGGCTAAGGGTGTCGCTATACCCTAAGAAAGGTATTTTCAATCTATCAAGAACAAGAAAAGTAATTATTTCTCCTCCAATTGAAAAAAATAAATAAAAGAAAGATCAACTTGTTTGTTCGCTGCTGCAATTTTTCAGAGACTCTGAGTAGCTCACAGGATTGATTTAAAAAGATTAAAAACAAAAATGTAGTAAGAGAGAGAAGTCTGGCTGCTCAGGAGTAAGCAGTACCAAGAGGGTGGGGGGGGAGGGGCATCACTGGGAAAGTCTCCAAACAGAGCATTCCCCAGCAAGACCCCACCCAGACCCTATTCAAGGCAGAGCAGACAAGTCCCAGAAATAGGTTGCAGATAGTCTTCAAGGGCTGCCCCCTTGTTCACCAAGTTTCAGCATTCCAGATGTAAAGTTACAAGATTATGAGTAAAGTCTCTTGATCCAAGGATGTCTGGTACTGGCGCACAAGATGAAATTACACAAAGGGTCTCTTGGCTGTGGCTTTCCATCTGCTGCATTGCAGGAGCCTTAAATGGACCAGAAGGACCTCCAGATTGCAAGTCGGCTCTACCTGGAGAAGAACTATGCCATCCAGAATGATAATCACTCCGTCTTTGAGGGAGATGGACAATTCAAAAATAGGATAGGAGAGGGAGGGAGGGAGGGAGGGAATCTATCATCTAAACACATTTTTGAATTATTCATTTCCCTCAATAAAGGGAGTGGTTGTTATTCTGGATGGCATATATTAAGATTCTATATAGAGATAGATAGAGAGATAGATAGATAGATAGATAGATAGATAGATAGATAGATAGATAGATAGATAGATAGATGGATGGATGGATGGATGGATGGATGGATGGATGGATGGATGGATGGATGGATGGACAGACCATATAGATAGATATAGATAGATGGATGGATGGATGGATGGATGGATGGATGGACAGACCAGATAGATAGATAGATAGATAGATAGATAGATAGATAGATAGATAGATAGATAGATGGATGGATGGATGGATGGATGGATGGATGGATGGATGGATGGATGGATGGATGATATATCAATAGATTATCTATCCATCTATCTTTCTATCTATCTTTCTATCTATCTATCTGTCTCTATCTATTTATCTATCTATCTGTCATCTATCTATCTATTTATCTATCATCTATCTATCTATCTATCTATCTATCTATCTATCTATCTATCTATCTCTGGGCTCAACTAGCTTCTGAATCCATAAGTACCTGGTAGAATTCAGTCTAAGCCTGTTTCTCCTCTTCCAGATCTCCATGCAGTGGATGGAGTTATATAAACAGGTATCATTAGCATATTGATGATACCTCACCCCAGGCTGCCAGATGACCTCTTCCAATCCATTAAGAGAAAGAGAGTTGTGGAAGATGGATAAAGTTAAGTCATTATGAAAGTGCTCAAGAAAATGCAAGCATCCTCCCGAGAGTAGACGTAGTTTGATAGAAAAAGAAAAATAAACAAAGTCCAGAAAAACATTAAAGGCAGTGGTAAAATCCAATTTACTATCGGTTCTGTGGGCATGGCTTGGTGGGCGTGGTGTGGTGTGACGTGGCGGGTGTGGTGTGGCTTGATGGGTGTGGCAGGGGAAGGATATTGCAAAATCTCCATTCCCACCCCATTCTGGGGCCAGCCAGAAGTGGCATTTGCTGGTTCTCCGAACTACTCAAAATTTCCGCTACCAGTTCTCCAGAACCTGCTGGATTTCACCCCTGATTAAAGGGTATAATACTCAAATTTACCATGATGACCAGGAATTCCATGCAAGTGAACAAACTGGAGGGAAGGGGACAGTCTGCTTGGTTTCTGTATGAGCAAATCCCAGAGAGAAAAAAACGTTTCCTCTCCTACAGCCAGCACAGAAATATGGCAGGCACCCTGACTCCATTAATCCCCATGGTACAGAGCAAAGCAATACAATATAAAACAAAACAAACCCACAAATCTAACCTGCTAATAGGTTTGTGGTTTTTTTTTTTTTTCATAGTGGCTGCAAAGAAAGGGTCTATCCTTAAACTTGATGTCCTACATAGAAATATAGGCTGATAATATTTGGCGGGTTGATTTCCAGGGCAGAAGCGACCTCGACAAAATAAGATAGCTACATACTAACCTGACAGATAGATACTGGCTGCACCGAACCAAAATGTGCATGCAGTGAACTGATATAATTCCAATGAAAAGAAGACTGATTGGTCCAAGCTGCATGGGAGAAGGAACAAAGATTAGCAACCAATTTACAAAGAGTAATGTGCCTCCCCTTTCTGCAGTGAGGAGCAGGAAACAGATCAGGTCTCCTGGAAGATTTGCCAAGTAACAGAAAGAATATCCATCTCTGCTAGGCTCTTAAAAATACAAAAGCTTTGGATTTATCTATTTAAATGCTTGCATGTCCGTTCCAATTCAGGATGGGAATAAGTAAACTATAAATCTCGTCCCCTATTCCGCCTCTGTCTTGCTGAGTGACTATAATATTTGATGTATTTTGCACTTCTTGCTCTTCTACAAAGAGCCTTGGTAGTACAGGGGTTTAAGGCACCCTGTTATTAAGCTTATTAAGAACAGCTGCCTGCAATTACTGCAGGGTTCGAATCTCGCCAAGGCTCAAGGTTGACTCAGCCTTCCATCCTTTCAAAGGTAGGTGAAATGAGGACCCAGTTTGTGGGGGCAATAAGCTGACTTTGTATAAATATACAAAAGGATAAAGGCTATTGCTGAGCACATTGTAAGCCGCCCTGAGTCTTCGGAGAAGGGCGGCATATAAATCAAATTTAAAAAAAAAAAAAAATACATTCAAGAAAATAAATTTCGAGCTTGGCCACTATGTGGCATCTCAAATGACAGTGAAGCCTTAATTCTGGACCTCCATATAAAGGACTTTGCACACAACTGACCAACAGTGATTTATGTCATTTGCATCAGAGGTGGGTTTTACATATTTTTACCACTGGTTCGCCCCACGCACGCGTGCCTTCCGCATGTGCGCCTGGCTTCGAAAACATGGCTAAATAGGATGATATAGTGCCGGGGTGGGTGGGCAGGCCCAACCGCAGTCACCACTACCGGTTCGCACGAACCGGCTGAATACCACCACTGATTTGCATGTTAGCTTTTCGCAATAGCATTTAGACTTACATATTGTCTCATAGGCCTTTACAGCACTCTCTGGGTGGTTTACAATATCAGCAGATTACCCTGCAACAATCTGGGTCCTCATTTTACCGACCTCGGAAGGATGGAAGGCTGTGTTGTAACCCAGGCCGAAGTAAGTAGTAGGAAAATCAATCCGTGAAAAAACAAACTTTATTCGAACAGCTGAGAATTACTTCATTCCCAGCGTCGTTCAACTAAATTAAGGCAAATTCTTCCCAACACATATTCCTCAGTCCTATCGCAAACCTTGGTCCAATTAGGCAAATTGCCAAAGGCCTTTCTTGGCAAACGTTCAGAAGTCACAGATACAAAAACAAATACAAGACGTAGCTTAAGAAGACGACGAAGCTACCAACGTTGTTTTCCGGCAAAGCCCAAATGCCGTTGCTGGTCTGTTTTAAGCCTTATGGGAGGGGCCAATCATCTCTTGGCCCTACTCCCGAGTTGCCCTCTTTCCTTGAGCTGCTCTTGCCTTCTGGCAACTCTTCTCATGCGTGCATTAGGAACAGGCTCCTCCTGTTCCTCTGCCTCACTCCTATCAGTCTTTGGAGGCTCTGGGGTCCGCACCTCACTCCCCGATGGCCCTGGTCCCATCTCTGCCTCTGATGCAGAGCCCTCATCTGGGCCTTCCCCAGCCTCCAGGACTGGCCCATGTTCTTCCTCAGCCTCATCGCTGTCCGACTCCACTGCCAGCTCTGCAGGGTGCTGGCGGACCACAACAGGATGAGTCAATCTTGAGCTGGTCAGGATCGAACTCCACACTATGGGGAGAATTAGCCTGCAACACAGGTAGTCCTCAATTTACAAATCCCCATTCGGTGTGGGTGGGTGATATGGTGACAATGAGAATCTTTAGAGGGCTCAAACTTAGAATTTTAATTGATTTGGATTATAATGTGTGCTCTGTTTTCACCATCCACAGTTTCAGTAATTAGAAAGACAGCCTTATGAATAAATATTTATTGAATAAGTAAATATTATTTTCCCATAATGATCTATCCCCAATGAAATAAATAAAATCATATTCTGATTTCATATAATGGCCAGGTTCACAGAATATAGAAAGATCCTGGCCAGATTCTTAATAGCAATAGCGGTTAGACTAATATACCGCTTCACAGTGCTTTACAGCCCTCTCTAAGCGGTTTAGAGTCAGCCTGTTGCCCCCAACAATCTGGGTCCTCATTTTACCCACCTCGGAAGGATGGAAGGCCGAGGCGACCTTGAGCCGGTGAGAATCGAACTGGCAAATTGCAGTCAGCTGGCAGTCAGCAGAAGTAGCCTGCAGTACTGCATTCTAACCACTGCACCACCACGGCTCTTAAAATACTGAATCTCCCACCATTCGCCTCATGTGTTATGCGAACCCGGCCATTTTGTGGCAGGCCTCAACAGCCAACTCTCAACAGCTTATTGTCCCCCGTAGCTGGGATCTGACTAAAACTTACCAGAATGCCGGCATTTTTTATTGCAAGAGGGAGGCTCAGAAGACCTGTCCCAATGTTTCCTTTAAGGATGTGAGTGAGCGTTTGAACGAATCTGAAAAATGTAAAGAAAAACACAAAATATCAGGTGTGTGTGAATCTAGTCCAGTGATGGTGAACCTTTTTTCCTCAGGTGGCAAAAGTGCACGCAACAGCGCGCACACATGTGCCAACACCCATAATGCAATGTCCCCCCGCAGGCCCCACCCCCTGCCCCAGCGCATGTGTGTGCGACCCCCATTTTGGTGCTAGCAGACCTCCCTGAAGCCTCCTGGAACCAATAACAGGCTGCAGGGAGGGGCATGCTGCACACACCCCCACACCCCGTTTTTGGTCCCAGGAGGCTTCAGGGAGGCCTGCTAGCACCAGAACGGGGGGGAGGGGGGGCCGCACTCCCCCATGCCCCCTTTTGGTGCTAGCAGGCCTCCCTGAAGCCTCCTGGAACCAAAAATGGGGTGCGGGGGGACAATGCACACCTCCACACCTCCACCCCCCGCGCATGCATGCCCGACCCCACCTCCACCCCCATGCATGTCTCCCAGCAGAGACCCAAAAATCAGCTGGCCGGCAGGAAGCACGCGGGCATGCACGGTGGAGCTGATCTGGGCATCGGCTAGCGTGCCCGTAGAGATGGCTCCGTGTGGCACCTGTGGCACGCGTGCCATAGGTTCACTATCACAGATCTAGTTTTATCGAAGTCTTGAAAGGGCCGAGAGGTTATTGTAAATACATGGGAATGGAGTACATACGTAATGCCTTCCTGATCAAGCTGATATTTCTTCTCTGCTGGCAGTAAATCTGCTTCGTTCTCATATTCATCGTCTGAACTCTGGTCTTCTATTAGAGGCTTCATTACTTCCAGGTCTACTTTAAAACAAAACATTCTGTATTACTGAATTATAGTACCTAAGAATATCTTCAGATCGCCATCGGTTTTCTTATTAGAACATTAATACAAGTCATCATTATAAAAATCACTTCCCTGGTTAATTCTGCTTTGAAGTGCTGTTTCTCAATCAAGTTTAATTCCTTTTGTATGAGTGCTGAGGATTTTCCTCTTTTATGTTCCCTTAAAGTTAATGAACAGCTGATTTTGGTTCATAGAGTAACAAATGGAGTGGGAAACATCTATCATTTGCGGGATTTACAACTGAAATCCAAGTGATTTGAGATTCCCTAAATGCTAAAAGATAGTTTAAGGTATAGTAACGTAATTCTTTATTGAGGAATAGAGTTTGGGTTTGGGGAGGGGTTAGTTATGCCTTTGAATCAGCCTTGATTCCAGGGAAGTGTGGAAAGATGGCTCCCACAGTTTTCTTGGCAACATCTTCAGAAGTGGTTTGCCATTACCTGATTCCTAGGGCTGAGAGAGTGTGTCTGGTTGAAGGTCACCCAACTGACTTTGTGCCTAAGGCAGGACTAGAATTCACCATATCCCAGTTTTTCGCCTGGTGCCTTTAACCATTACACCAAACTAGCATTAAGGAAAGGTTTAGGCAGAATTGTTTGTCAAGATTTGCACATCCAGGTGATACAGGTAGTCCTTTGACTTACGACTCGTTGCTTAACAACTGTTCAAAGTTATGACGGACCTTCCCAGGGCTATTTACAAACTGGTTCTGAAGTTCTGATGGCCAGCCCCTCCCCCTGATCACATGACCACATTTCAGGGATTGAACAATCAGTCCGTATTTACAAACGCTTGCCACATCCTGTGGTCCCATGATCACGATTTACAACATTTTAGCTTGAAAACTAACGTTTGCTTCTGGTTTTCAGCAAAAACTTTCTGAAGCGAGCAATGGGTTCATTGAACAACCATGGTGTTCACTTAACAACCACTGCAACTCCCCTTTTACGACTTTCATCCCTTAAATAATTCAGGGTAGAGTCGAGGCGACTGGATGGAGCTGAGCGTTTACTGGCCGAATGCCATTCCTGACGCCACGTGGAGTTCGCAGCAGATTTTTTTTTTTTTTTTTTTTTTTTTGCGCCCAGGGAGAGAAAAACATCTGCCACTACCTAGGATTGAACTCTCAACCTTCCAAACGGGAGGCAATTAGCTTCACCACTAGGCCACCACGCCGCTCTTAACAACCACTACAACAAAGGTAATAAAATTGGGTCATTCACGTGGTTGACCCACTTCACGACTTAGGGCCATAACAAGTAGGCCAAGTTAGGGTCGTAAGTCAAGGACTATCTGTATTATTTATTTTATACCCACTATAATCAAAACAGATTCTCTGCAGTTTATAGGAAGAGCAACACGAAGCAAAGCGTGTGAATAAAAGCAGCCGCAACTAAAACTAGCAAAATCAATAATACCGAAAAAAAAATCAATAATCACAATGAACAATTCTGGGGATGCCATCATTCACCATAACCCTCCAAATTAGCTCATTTTCTAATTTCCAGTCAAGTTTATTTCATAACGTAGCTGCTGCCATCCAAAAGAAGCATGTAATTGATAGAAATGCAGAATTGTTTCATTTTTAAAACTTATTTTGCAGTTCAAAGTGATGGTGATTCTTTACAGAGATGTAGGTACTGCAGAACAGGTGGGAAATCAATTATATAAGCCTATCTTCACCTTTTTAGGCGTATTAGGGATAGGAAAGAGGAAGAAACAGGAGAAATATTCATGGATTATACTGTATATGTGAGGTTTTTTTTTTTTAATTGAAGATTCCCTCCAAAATCAGATATAGAAGATAATTTATTAATGCAAGAGAAATACAACAGAAGCAGCTAAAAATAAAACTTTTTTCGCCCAAGGAAAAATATTATAAATGCTTTTAATTCATATAGATAGTCCTTGCTTAGTGAGCAAAATTAGGATCCTCGCTAAGCGACATAGTCAAAAAGAGAGATATCACATGATGCCGAACTTGAGACCTCACATTTTCTGCGGTTATTAAACAAGTCACTTGTGGTCATTAAGCAAGACATCATGGGACTGCAACTTGTGATTTTACTGCCAGCTTCTCCACTGACTCTGCTTATTGGAAGCTAGCCGTGAAGTTCAAAAATGGCGATCATATGTGGGATGCCGAGGTCCAGATTCAAAGCACCCAAATGATGATCATGTGACATGTTAAGTGCAAGGAATGACCATAACTTTTATCTTTCTGGCACGGTCATAATTTCAAATAGTTGCTAAGCAGAGCAGCCGTTAAGCGAGGACTACTTGTATTTTTTTTAGGGGATTAAAAATTCCAGAAACAGCAGCATCTGAGTGAGAAGGAGAGTCAAAGTAACAAAAGTAGCATGTCAATGTGTTGCAAAGCCCATCCCTTTCCTAGTATGTGTTTTGCCACATCACATACGTGTCCTGTGGCAACACAAGACTCCATCAGTGTGAATCTTCTGTACATGCAAACATGGCATTCTAAAAATTAATTCCAATTAGATGAATGGGATGGTAGCCTCGCTATCAGCTGAGACTACAGGTAGTCCTCAAGTTACAACGGTTCATTTAGTGACCGTTTGAAGTTACAACAGCGCTGAAAAAAGCAACTTATGACCGTTTTTCACCGTTACGACCTTTGCAGCATCCCCCATGGTCACATGATTTAATAGTCAAACACTTGGCAACTGGCTCATGTTTCGGACAGTTGCAATGTCCCGGGATCATGTGATTCCCCCTTTGCGACCTTCTGACCAGCAAAGTCAATGGGGAATCCTGATTCACTTAACAACCATGTCACTATCTCCACAACTGCACTGATTCACTTAACAACTGGGACAAGAAAGGTTGTAAAACGGGGCAAATTTCACTTAACAACTGTCTCACTTAGCGACAAAAATCTGGGGCTCAATTTTGGTCGTAAGTCGAGGACTACCTGTGTTCAGGGCTTCAGCGTCAATAACCGCACACATGCAGAAGATGGTCCCTCTAAATTAGTTTGATTAAAGAAAGCCCTTTCTTCCTCATGGTTTCTCCATCTCTGCGGAGCTCTTCCTAGGAAGATTGAGCCAGTGCTACGAGCCAGTGTCCTACATATTTGCAGTTTTTTTTAAAAAAATACCAAATATTTTCCCATATTCTTCAGTTTTAAAGAACATGGATCTGGTTAGAACGCTTTATGACAGATATCTGCTCTGAATCTGTTTCAGTAACTATTAAGAATTTACCTCAAGGGTAAGCAAAACAGTTCACTAAAATAAAATGGCCACTTGTAACATTTCTAGAATCAGTTGGAGAGAGGTGTAGTATATATTTTTATATATATTAACCTCTTCAGAGATAATGCCCATTTAAGTCTCCCTCTAGTGACATTCAATTCTTGTTAATTTATGGACACCTACATGTAATTTCTTAACACCATAAGAAAGTGGGTTTTTTTTTTTTAAAAAAAAATTCCCATTAGCTTTGTAATTTTGGGCAGAAATATTGTAAAGCGATGCATAAAACGTTCACATTTGTGCACCTATATCCCAGTTACCCTGTTTCCCCCAAAATAAGACATCCCCTGATAATAAGCCCATGAGGCTTTTGAGCGCATGGCAATAAGGCCAAGCACTTATTTCAGGATTCAAAAAAATGTAAGACAGGGTCTTATTTTCGGGGAAACACAGTAGCATCTAGCTTTTTTTTAAAATCTAGCTTTTTTTTAAAAAAAAACACTTTTTGTTTTGCCTTGATTCTTTCTCTTTTAATTCTTTATTAGCTTTGAGTTCTTTTTTTCTTTGGCTCTGCAAAAATCATGATTAAAAAAAACCTCTTTTTTTTTAAAAAAAAAAAGCTTGAGTTCCCCAATTTCTTTACCTCACAAACTCATGACTATGACCTCCGGGAAACTAGGACTTTTATATAACAACCTTATTTAGCATTTTTTTTCAGTTACTTGATTGTTTAGAATTAAGAAAGAAAATGATCCTAAATGAAAAGATTAAAAAAAAAAACTCCTAATGATTAAAGGTGCAAAAAGATTATGAGTTTCAATTCTGAAACATCTCGTTTTGAGGGTGTGAACCACTTGAGTATGAAACAGGTTTCCAAGAGCGATGAATCTACATTGAAAATACTGTTTTGCATCCGAAACAGAGTTTCACACACACTAGAAGCAGGCTATTTTTAATTCAAAACAATTCAATCCCAGCTGTTTCTCACAGTCCTAATCCTAGCCGTATACTCCTTATCCTAATCCTTTGCCCTTTATAAAGCTCAATATTCTGAGACATCGGTGAGGAGTTAAAAAAAAAAAAGGCAAGATGGTAGTTGTAGCATTGCAATGGAAGGCCTTTCTCTCTTATATACACTGAGTATTACATCAATAGTATAGAGTTTCCTGCTTGAACAGGGGGTTGGACTAGAAGACCTCCAAGGTCCCCTCCAACTCTGTTATTCTGTTAAATGTTACATACCATCTTGTCTTTTTTAAACCCCCTATGGATGCTGGTGCCAACATCTCCTTCAGATCTCCCCGTTATTTTCCCAAGTTATCTCCCCCCCAAAACTAAATTAATATAGCATACATAAGTTAACCCTCTGTTTTCTTCACCCCACATCATCCTTCTAGTTCATTTCCTTCTAGACCAGGGGTGTCAAACTCAAGGCCTGTGGGCCGCATCCAGCCCGCGGGGGTGCTTAAATCTGGCCCGCGAGGCCAGCCTGAAAATAGCAAAGGACCAGTGCCCCGTTTTCAGCCTGGATGGCCTCCTGCAGCACTCTGCCAGCCAAAATGGGGCACGGCCAGTGGTGAAATCCAAATTTTTTTACTACCGGTTCTGTGGGCATGGCTTGGGGGGCATGGCAGGGGAAGGATACTGCAAAATCTCCATTCCCATCCCACTCGAGGGGAAGGATACTGCAAAATCCCCATTCCCTCCCCACTCCTGGGGAAGGATATTGCAAAATCTCCATTCCCACCCCACTCTGCGGCCAGCCAGAGGTGGTATTTGCCGGTTCTCCAAACTATTCAAAATTTCCGCTACCGGTTCTCTGAACTGCTCAAAATGTCCGCTACCGGTTCTCCAGAACCTGTCAGAACCTGGTGGATTTCACCCCTGGGCATGGCACTGCCAAGCGCAGGGGCCCCCCGTATCCCGTTTTGGCCGGCAGGGTGCTGCAGGAGGCATCCGTCCCATTTCTACCCCCGGCCGGCCCGTGGAGAACTACAATCCTGATCCGCCCCTCGAAGAAATCCAATTTGACACCCCTGTTCTAGACTTAACACATAAACTGGGTTGAGTATTTCTCATCAGCACCTGTGAATATCCCATGTTAAGTGGACAGCTTCTCACCCTAAGGAAAACCCAGAGCCCTACATACAATAGGACCTGGTCACGCAGTGGTGCTTCTATGGTTACCAGCTCTGAATGCAAAAAGTCCTCACCCACTCTAGACAGGGGGCGGGGCTTGATGGAACATGGCGGACAAGGGGGTGGAGCTTGATGGAATCTTCAGGTTACTGGCCACAATCCTGAAAGGAGATTTTTATTGGTTGGCAACTGAGCTGCTCTGCTCCAGAAGACCAAGCCTGTAAAATACAAAAAACGGATATACTCAAGGGGTGGAGTATATAGAAAGGAAGCTCATCCCATCCCTGGATTCTTTCAACAAGCTAAAGCCATAATGTGGCATTTCTGTGCGTTTGGCTTAAACCAGGATCTATGGAGATTCTCAATCATCCAGGTCTGCCGTCTCCAAACTTTCCAGCTTTGCGGACAGGCGGTGGGAGAAGAGAGATAGTGGTTTCACGTGAGTGGCAGGGGAGCACGTGTGTGCACACAACTCCATTTGCACAAGTGGCGGGCATGCTCGTCCACTCACTGTGCACATAAGTGTAGCTGTGCATGTGGTTGCTGCCGCTTCTGCAGCCCAGTTCTGAAAGGGCCATGGCCCAAGGGCCATAGACCCCGATCCGGGTCATGATTGTCCCAAAGATGCTTTTTCCCAAAAATGCAACTGGAATTTCTTGGGTTTTTTTCTTTTGAAAATGTTTCGCTTCTCATCCAAGAAGCTTCTTCAGTTGTTGAGTTCTGAAGGAGCTTCTTGGATGAGAAGCGAAACATTTTCAAAAGGAAAAAAAAGAAAACCAAGAAAATCCTGTTGCCTTTTGGAAAAAGCACCTTTGGGATGGCTTAAACCAGTGTTTCTCAACCTCAGCATTTTTTCAGACGTATGGACTTCAACTCCCAGAATTCCCTGGAATTCTATCAACTGAAGTCTATACGACTTTACAGACCCCTCACATCCTGGACATGAACTGTTTCAACTCCTACCCTCAAAACGACGCTATAGAGCACTGCACACCAGAACAAATAGACACAAGAACAGGTTTTTCCCGAACGCCATCACTCTGCTAAACAAATAATTCCCTCAACACTGTCAAACTATTCACTAAGTCTGCACTACTATTAATCTTCTCATCGTTCCCACCACCCATCTCCTTCCACTTATGACTGTATGACTGTAACCTTGTTGCTTGTATTCTTACGATTTACAGTATACTGACTGTTTTCTAATATGATTTGATTGCTTATTTGTACCCTATGACTATCATTGTTGTACCTTATGATTCTTGACGAATGTATCTTTTCTTTTATGTATATTGAGAGCATATGCACCAAGACAAATTCCTTGTGTGTCCAATCACACTTGGCCAATAAAGAATTCTATGCTATGCTATGCTATGCTATGCTATGCTATGCTATGCTATGCTATGCTATGCTATGCTATGCTATGCTATGCTATGCTATGCTATTCTTAAAACACTGGCTTAGACAATTGTGTGGGATCTAGAATATAAACCATGATTTGTGGCTCACTATATTGTGCAAAGGCAGCCAATTGTGGTTTAATAAAAATCACATTTAAGCAAACTATGGCTTAACACTTTCGGAGAACATTGACTACTCTGGTTAACACACACAATTACAAGCTGCTGAAATTCAGGAACTCAAAAGCATACTTAGCTTACTCATGTTTGGAAAGTTACCTGGACTGCTTTTAAAAAATTATGAAAGTCTTGGGGCAGTGTGTGTGTGTGGTCTATAAAAACTTAAATTTGACCAATTTCTTGTTGTTCTTGTAACAACGTAATAAGACAGTGCCCTCCAACTGAAAACCTAAAAAAGGGACACGAAAACAAATGTGCAGCTGGACCAGAGATCTCTACAGAGGATGTCAAAAAAACTCAAGTTAACAGCCATAGCCATGTGTTCTCTATTTTAATGCAGTGCCTGAAACCAGCCTCTGCACACATTGTATGTGGATAATTGATTCAGGCAACACATTTTAACTATCTGCAGTCACAGTGGAATTGCACAAACCATTATAAGTACAGAACTTCTGTTTAGAAACATCACCAGGAGCTGTGCCTGCCTCCCAAGTAATCCTTATCTTAAATTACTTACTTATCAAAGCAATCTTTTATAAAAGGGTTCCAATTAACTTAAACTGATTCCCTTTTTCAGCTCCCCCACAGCTTTATATTAGATGAAAGAGCATATAAAAATAGATGAGGAGCGGCCTGCTTTCAGATGAACAGCTGTGGTATAAATCAGGGGTGAAATCCAGCAGGTTCTGACAGGTTCTGGAGAACCGGTAGTGGAAATTTTGAGCAGTTCGGAGAATCGGCAAATACCACCTCTGGCTGGCCCCAGAGTGGGGTGGGAATGGAGATTTTGCAATATCCTTCCCCTGCCATGCCCACCAAGCCACACTATGCCCACCAAGCCATGCCCACAGAACCAGTAGTAAAAAAATTTGGATTTCACCACTGGTCTAGCTGCTTAATCACATAAGCATATCTATTTGGATCAGATTCCTTCAACTTGCAAAATAACTTCTTTTTTTCAGTCTGTTGTGGTACGTATTTTATTTAAACATCAAGAATCACGAAAACTACTTCATGAAATGCTTCAAGAATTGCTATAAAATCCATCCAATCAGTTCATCTCTGGCGATTCATGCTTTTTAAAATGTTTACTTAGCACAGTATGAAGCCAGCGATTACTGTCTGTATGGTTACAATTTAATGCTCTCCCAACCCAGCCGCCTATTTAAACTGTGCATAAAGCACAAAGGACTCTATAAATGAGGGGTCCCAATGCTTGGGCTGCAGCACACTACAGACACTTCAGAACTTGGCCGTGAAAATGGTGGGTGAGAATGTGCGCGTGCAGCTTCACTGGAGTGAAGAGAGAGAGAGTGGGTGCTCGCGCACAAAGCTCCACCACAGAACCATCCCCACTCCCCCCACACCGGTCCGTCAACCTGGAAAGGTTGGGGACTGCTGCTATAAAGCAAACTATGGTTTAACACAATAGGTCTGTGATGGCGAACCTATGGCACGCATGCTGGAAGTGGCATGCATAGCCATCTCTCTGGGCACGCAAGCTGTCGCCCTTTGCTCTTCTGGGTTCCGGCACGCCGGGCAGCTGGTCTTCACACATGCGGGAGCGTTGGAAACTGAAAGAGCAGCCTCCCGGTGTGCATGCACACACCAAGCAGTTGCTATTCCGGTTTCTGGCTCATATACGTGCATGAAGACCAGCTGGCACACCGGAAACCGGAAGATCATCTTCCCAGTGCGCGCATGTGCACCAGGCAGCTGCTCTTCCGGTTCCTGGCATGCGCATGCACACCAGCTAGCACCAGGAACCAGAAGACCAGGTGGCCAGGGCGCATACATGCACCGGAAGCCGTAAGAACAGCTGCCCGGTGCGCACATTTGCGCCAGGTGGCTGCTCTTCTGGTTTTCGGCATGCTCACGCACGCTCCTGTTTGGGCACTCAGTGCTGAAAAGTTTCACCAACACTGCAATAAGTCATCTGCATGATAAGTTGTGAGCAAATACATTTCAATAATTTGCTGTTCGCAATAAGAAAAACATGCTTCTACTCATCTTGAAAATTCCACAAACCCATTCTGGATTAGTTTGTTCCAAAAAATCCCCAATCCTTGGACCACCGTCTAGAACAGTGATGGCTAACCTTTTTGCTGTCGCGGGCCAAAAGTGGGGGGAGCACAGGGGGGGTCATGCATGTGCATGCCCACACCCACAATTCAATGCGCCCCACCCCCCCTGCGCATCCATGCACAACCCCCTCTCCGTGCTCCCCATTTTTCGCCCTCCCCAGGCTCCAGAGGCTTTCTAGGAGTGAAAACAGCCTTCCCCACCCACCTGGAGGCCCTCTGGAGGCCAGAAACGGCCCGTTTGCCAACCTCCGGTGTGTCCGGAAGGCCCGAAAATCAGTTGGCCTGCACGCTCATGCGCGCTGCAGCTGAGCTAGGGCAATTCTCACGTGCCCACAGATATGACTCCACGTGCCATAGGTTCGCCATTACGGTTCTAGAAAGACCAGTCTGCCATTTTTATTTCATAAAAGGGGTATTTATGTCTCTCATGTTGGTTTACTCCTATGGGATGGGGAAAAGCTGTGCTTAGGGGGAAAAGGAATAAACAAGAGTTGCTACTGAGCTTGGTGTCGGGCAGTGTGAGGAAATAACACTGTTGAGGAAATATAATTAGGAGTGTATATTGGCAGCAATCACACAAAGGCATGAAAAACTGAAACAGATGAAATTTCCAGTAGAGAAGGATGACTACAGAGATAGCAGTGGAAAAGTCTGGAAGGACGGAAGATTACACATATTTGACTGTATGTGTCATTTATACAAATTCCCCAACTGGTTCAACAAGTAAACGCAGTTACTAAACCAGTGATAAGGTACTGACCCTTAGTCATCACAACCTGTACGTTTCAACATCGCATCCTTAACAGAATTCGAACACTTCTAAAGACAGATTCTGCAAGGAACGCCTGACCATTTCAGAAATCGACACTGATAATTATTTGATCAAATATATGATTTCCAGTTCTGCTCTCCGCCCCAAGTTTGCTATTACTCCTGGTGGTACTAAAGACTTAGGCTGATAACCTGTATAGATAGATATTCATTTTGTGACTGCTCAAAGTTACAAAGGCATTGAAACAGGTGATTTATAACCGGTCCTCGCACTTACGACTGTTGCAGAATCCTCAGTCGTATGATAAAAATTTTGGGCACTTGGCAGCTGGCATGTATTTAACAATAGCTGCAGTGTCCTGGGGTCATGCGATCACCCCTTGTGACCTTCCCAGCCAGCTTCTGACAAGCAAAGTCAATGGGGGAAAGCTGGATTCCCTTAACTACCCTGTGATTCGCCTAATAGCACTAGCACTTAGACTCATATACCGCTTTACAGTGCTTTACAGCCCTCTCTAAGCGGTTTAGAGTCAGAATCTGAGTCCTCATTTTACCCACCTCGGAAGGATGGAAGGCTGAGTCAACTTGGAGCTAGATGAGATTTGAACTGCCAAATTGCAGGCAGCCGGCAGTCAGCAGAAGTAGCCTGCAGTACTGCACGCTAACCACTGAGCCACCATGCAGTGATTCGTTTAACGTTCCTGGCAAAACAGGTTGTAAAATTGAGTGGGACTCACTTAACAACTAGTAGGAGAAACAAGATCCTTGCTTAGCAAAGGAAAT